AATGGATGTAATGTGATTACAGTCCAAAACCAATGCAATCACATTACATTGCATTCTGCAATGTTTTAAAGATAATTTTACCCTTCAATTTTATTACTTTATTAAAAATATTTTATAATATTATAATTAAAATAAAAATATTAAAATAAAATATATAATATAAGAATAAAAATTAAAATAAAATAAAATATAAAAAATTAACATTTATATAATATAGGTAAAACAAATTAAAATAAAATATATAATATAAAAAAATATATTAAAAAAATAAAAATAAAATATATAAAATTATAATAATAAATAAAAATAAAATATATGACATTAAAAATATATTTAAAATATGATATTATATAAAAATTAATAATATAAATATAAATATATTAAAAATAAAATATAAAATATTATAATAATAAATAAAAATAAAATATATGACATTAAAAATATATTTAAGAAATGATATTATATAAAAATTATTAATAAAATATAAATATATTAAAAATAAAATATAATAATAATAAATAAAAATATATTTAAAAAATAATATTATATAAAAATTAATAATACTAAATATAAATATATTAAATTTATATTTTAATAATTAAGAGTAATTTTGATAATTAACATTACATTCTCACTAAAATACTTGTAAATCAAACACTGTAATGTTATCTTCTTTACATTTTAATCATTATTTTACTTATATATCAAACATTATAATATTATTTTTTTTATAATTACATTACTTAATCATATTTGCAATCACATTAACGTATATGACGGTGGTGCAACAGTGGAGCTCAGTAAACGAAAGTGGGAAAACTTAAACTAACAAAGAGAGAGAGATGGAGAGATTAGGGGATTGTATAGAAGAGTTAATGAAGTTCACACTCCAATCTCACATTAACAAATCCCTCAATTTCGAACTGCGTCTCTCCCCTGAGTTCTGCTCCGGCCTCCTCAATTCCGACCACGCCGATCCCAACCCGGGCCCCCCTGGTAAGAAAACCCCCATAAAATTTGAAGCGATAGGAAAGCAATGCATCTTGATAATCAGAAGGTTGTTAGGGTAATTTTAGTCATTTGATAGAAGCATATTTGCTTTTTCATGCTGGGATGCTGCAGATATTTGGAAAGGAGTTCCCTCATACCCTTTATACAAGCATCTCGCATTAGCTTTGTACCAATCCATTGTTTCCGGCTCCATTTGCAATAGGCAACACAATTTGGGGCTAATGCACGACGAAATTTCTACCAAACAGAAGGAAGAGTGGAAGAAGTTGGTTTCAAATAAGGGACTTGAGTTGATAAATGTTAGTTAGTCATTCTTGATGCTGCTATTTTTGTTTTTCTTTTAGGTTTATGTCTAATAATTTGTTTTCTTGTAGATTATGGATAATATAGACTTTGAACTTCATGCCCAGGAGCCCTTCTTTTCAATGTTAAGAGGTATTTTTGGTTGTTTTATTTTTTACCATTGCCCTTATTCCCCTGTCATTATCTAAGCAATTGCGAAACTTTGCATTCTTCGCAGATGGCTTGAAGACAATTGAAGGAAGGTGTGCAGTTGGCAAATACAACAAGTACGTCTTGGGATTCACTTTGTTTTTTTCTTCCCACTTGTTCCTTTGCATGACTGGTATTTCTTTTTCTTGGGCACTTACTTTTTAAACTTGTCTTGTACTCATTGATTTCTGTTATGCAATCTATTCATTTTAATGTTCTTTTTGTTACTTGAGGACACCATATGCATGCATTGATGGCCAAGCCATTTAAGATTTCAAATTCAACTGCAGTTAATCCAGCGTGGAATATACTCTATACTAGTAGCTAGGGAGTAAGTTGCCTTGGCAGATTAAACTCAGCCTTAGCCGACCTTTCCGGTTGCTAAATAAAAACCATCCTGATAGCCTATTTGATAGGTGAATTTTTTGTCTTTTTTTCTCTTTTAAAAAGGAATAGATCCTGTTTTATTCCGGTGACAATGATAAGTATATAAACAAAAGGTAACGCCTTGTCTATCTAAACTCTTATCTTTGGTAACAAAATTATGTGTTTGCTTGACAGTTTCAAAAACTCAATATTGCAGAACTCCGCCTGTGAGAGTATATACTTGTGTGAAATCTACATGACATATGTAATGTTCTTGGTTAGGGGCCATAAGAGGATTCTCAATATGTCCTGCTTTATATTTTGAACAAGAAACAAAATGAACTCCTGTTTCTAATTAATGCATGCTATTAGGGTTTGTGCAACAGAAGGCCTGTGACTTTGTGGCTTACATACTCATCATACATTTGAATTATCTTACATGGTCATCCTGTTGAGGCAGAGGTGGGAAACTTTGCTTGAGGGGGCAGTGGACGGCCTGGAGATTGAACTGTCAATGTGACCTGAAAATGAGAGTTTATAATTGCTAAGCTGTGTGATTTAAAGTTTTGCATGTCTTCTGAACAATTTATGAGCTTTTAATGATAAGCCAATTCAGTTCTTCTTTGATGGTCAGCCCTTCTTATGATATTGTTGATTTAAAAATTAACTTCCAGTCGACTTTCCCCCTTTTTTCCATTATTGGTTTTAGGGTGTCCTGGTGGAAACCTGATTGATCTTTGATTCTTTTCGTTCTTTTCCTTTTGATAAGTGAGTCCTTTTATTTATCCCTATATTAATTATTTATTCTTTTAGTATTGAACCAGGTGCTATGATCCTCTTTAATAAATGTCTGGTGCTTGAAGTTCAGGTGAACTAATGCTTATGCCTTATACTCCATGTTCATGTTCTGAGCTAGGCTTTTCTAACTTCATCAATTTGCAGGATGTTCATCGTTATGATACATTTTCTAAAATGTTGGAGGCTGAAAGTCTTTTGCAAGTCCTTCCTGGAGTTAAATCTACTGAAGAAGGTAATGGCAGTGGAAGTTGGCCCATGATTCGCTTAGAAATATTTCTTTCTTCAGACAGGGAGAACATGGTTTACTCTGTGATACTATATATGGAATGAGGGAACTCATTACCAGATTTCAAATGAGGATTAATATCACTGTATAAAAATCATTTAAGACTGAGAGTAAATGATGTTGTTAAAAGATTGGATTCTGGTTCATTTGGTTCTTTGAGAGTTTATTGAAAATCATAAGATCATAAAGTCTGTTAACGTAGCTATTAATGAAATCTGATTTTGCTGAGAAATCTTAGAAATCCTAGCTTTTCTTTTCTCAGAGACATCTTAAATGTATGGACTATAGAGACTCTAGAGGAATGTTAACAAAAGTTAACAAAGGCTTTGACTTAATAAGTATAGGAGGTTGCTAGTGTCTTGGGTTCCTAACTTATAAACATGCATGTCTATGTGCTACTTAGCCTCCAACTTTCTTTTGCTTTATTAGTCAATAACCAAATGAAAATACTTGTGCTTACCTATTTTTATGTATTAGGACTTCAAAATCTAATTTTATTCTAAATGTAGCAGGTTTTTAGTTAATGCAGGAGTCATTGAAAGGAATATTGTGGGAAGTTTAATTCTTGTTTCTAGATGATTTGCTAATTCCTTTGTGGTAATTTGTTGATGCGTTTGCAGGCTTGCAAATATATAGGAAATTTTACACAGAGGAGAAGGAAAGGTCTAATGGTGTCCTTGCAATCTGTATTTCTAATTTGGTGGCTCAGCCCTCTATGTTGTTGGCCAGCATACTATCTGTCAGTTACTTACAGCATTTTTTGAGTTGTAAATTTTGTTATATGTATCAAATTAATCTGATATCTTGCGAAAGGAAAATTTTTGTGTGGTTGTTTTGTGCATGCCTGTTTGGCTTCTGTCATGTTGATTGAGTTTTAAAACCCTTGAATTTCTGATGCAATTCCAAGTAGTTTACTGGGAACTTACTATTATATAGTAATGAGTGTCAAGAGAGAGAAAAAAAGCTAGAAGGAACAAACTAACATTGTGGTAGTCTCCTTTATTGATTCTATAAACATGAAAAAGACAATGTTATCCATTTTTTCATAATATACCCTGTAACATTTAGCATGTTATAAGGAATGGTTAACAGGAAAGTGTCTAGAGCTGTATGTTATCACCATCAGTCATGATTACAAAATGGAGACATGTGAAATTATTCATGATATTGTGGTAGAAAAAAAGAAGTGAATCTTGCGGCATGATCTGAAACTCTTGAAAATATTTAAGAGTGCATAATATATATACCTAGACTGTGACAAATACTAATTTTGGATTCTCAGCTATCATTTACTTAGAAACATAATTCTCAATTCAGTAGAATATATACCTAGACTGTGACAAAGACTAATTTTCGATTCTCAGTTATCATTTACTTAGAAACGCAATTCTCAATTCAGTAGAATTGCTGATAATAAAGTGGTAAAATATTGATTATGACTAACTTAAATCTTCTCTTGGAACATGAGTTCTGATCCATTTTTCTGGTGAATAGTAATATTTTTCTCAGGAACATGCTTCATCTTAGATCTAAGCAAGATCATGACATGATTGTATGAGCTGTATTTTAAAGGATTTTAGTAACTTGATTCAGCTATTTTATCATCCCAACACTATAGCAAGGTTCCAGGCCATATGCATAGGAGAAAAAGGCATTTTGGACTAGTAGAGATTTATTCTGTTACCAATTGAAACATCTTGAACTAATGGTATATGATTATGTCTACTTTATTAGTTGGCCACATTAACAGATTATTTTACATATATTGTAGTTATATCTTTGCTGACAATGAACCAATAGGAATGCACCACGTGCTAGTGCTTTTTATAATTCTATATGTACAGGATACGTCCTTTTTATGTTTGTAGGTTTTGTAGGGATTTAATTGGTTTAACAGTTATTTGTGGCAGCATTTGCCTAATGGTGCCTGTTTCAAATCTTAAATCATGTTGGCAGAGTGATCAATTCATTTGCCATTCATATATGGATTTATAGACAGATTAAACATGTCATTTCACTTCTTATGAGATCAGTGTTAGTGTTACTATTTTATGTCTGTTTGTGTATGCACTAGCTCTTTGAATCTCATATAACCAATAATACAAAGTCCAAACTCATTACTTGCCCAATGTATTTTCTAAGTGCCCTAAGTGGATGTTGAAACGTTTTATGTTTTAATCCAGGAACTAAGTTATGAAGGTGTTCAAAGGCTTCTGGCTCTAGCACACACTCCTGGAACAATTTCTGGTGCACTCCCCCCACCAAAATTTACACTTCTCTCGTCATTCATGTTGCCATATAATCCAGATGTAAGATAATGACTTGTGAATTGCTTTTATGCTTTCCATTTGCGAGGAAGGCTCTTTTACTTTTCTTCTCGTTTACCTTAAGGTTTGTTTCTTACCTTGGACTTTCTTTTATTATCTCAACTGAATCACAATTAGTGTGCATGATTTTTAGTATTCAAATAAAAAAGGAATGAAAAGGCTTGGTTATGTTGATTGAAGAGATAGGTTTTTTTTTCCCTATAAAAAAAAGTTCTGCTAGTAAATGCAAAAAAGTACGGTAGTCTGGGTGGTGCAGGGAGAAGAGGCTACCCATTTTTTTCTCACACCATGCCTGTGCAAAACTGACCTGTCGATGGGTGACTGTGAGTATGTGTCCCACCAAACAACAGGTCCTAAGGACATTGATATTATCATTTTAACATTTCCTTCTAGATAGATGTATCTTTTGGTGCTCCTTTTTGCTTTATTAATGATTTCAACTTTTGGTCTTTGAACTGGTAAAGAAAAACATTTTACTCTAGCCATGTGTCACATGCACCTGTTTTGGATATAATGTTTGGTAATCTTTAGTGTGCCTCTGTGTGTGTCTTTTGTGGGGGAGGGGTATATATCTATACAGCACGATTTGATTATGGTATCTTTCTTTCTGTTCTTCCTTTTCTTTTAATAATTAATCCCAACATTGTTGCTGCTAATATATTGTATGACTTGACTATGGTTGCTCTTTTTGTGGTCTCTAGGTCAGAGGCAGTACCTTGACTCATGGAGCTAGGGCCTTGTCAAAGCATGCTGATCGAAGTAGCAGTAAGTACTGGGGAAATTTAAATGGAAGTGGTGAGTTCTTTTGTAGATCCAACTTGTCATCACGATGCTTAAAGATGTGCTTTTAGTTTTCTGTTTTTCTCTGTCTCATTTGTTTTTGTTACATGTGTGCTTGTGTGTGTGTTTTTTTCATTAACATTGACTATCCAAGGTGTGAATCTTTCCTGATTTCTTTGGTTGATAAAGGGGTCTGGTTTTGGTTACTCTGGTGTATGAAAAGACTAAAATCCTAGCTCTATTTTGGGCTTGCAAATATTCCATGAGGCTTCTTGGAGATAGTTGAGTGCGTAACAGAAAGCTTGATCTTACTAGGTTACTTCTGAAATAAAGATAACTCCACTAGCAATAACATAAAATTAACTTCTATTGTTCCATCACTTGTACCATCTGAATTTTGGTTTCAAGAGCTCTAGTTTCTATGACTCATTCTAGGAGCATAATTTACTTTTGCTGGTTTTAAACAACCCAAATTCTCTGATTTTTAGTTTGGAAAAGTTGATCATCATAGGTTCTGTATCAAGCACACAACTGAAGTATTGTTATAATGTTTAGAAGACTTGAGAGTATAAACTATACATTCATTCTTGGAAATGTTAGTATATAGTTAAAGAATAATTTATGGATTTAGGTTGGGCATTGAGTATGCAGTAACCAAATATATATTTGATAGAGTGGTAAGTGTTAATGTTGTAAGATAAACCTATATCTGTTGAACAATCTCTATTTATATACCACAACTGAAAGACCAGACTAGGATCACATGATTTTTAGGTTGGAATATGTGTAGGTGATTAGACAATGTTTCTATCAATCTTCTAAGGAGTGCGTTATGAAAAATATGACTTATGAAGGGAAAAGATAGAGAGAGAGGCTTGTCCGTTTGGGCTTTATGCCTTTCCTCTAAAGCTCTTTGCTATACTTTGTAACTTACCTATATAGTAATTATTTACTTGGTGTGTAGAATCTTACAATTCTGGAAGAGATCCTTGAGTTTAATCATGAAGTTTGTTGTGTTTACATTGGAAGATAGTTGCATCTTAGATGTGGTCACCAATTAGGATGGGAAAGAGGATAATCATATTAGTTAAGTATATTTGCCTCTTAGTGCAAAGTTGGACCTTTCCAATATTACCAAATTAAAATTGATAGCGGGATGCCTAAATAGTCTATGTTGAGTATTACACATGCACGCACATGGAACCTTGATTATTTCTTTAGTAAGTGACCATCTAATCAGTACTTTCCTATTTCTATTTCCCCAGATTCAAATAAAAATAATCTTGCAGTGGGTGTCATTACTCATTTGATCACTAATTGTTGCTGGTTGAATGTGTATATTGTTCAATTGCATGGTGCTATCTTTGAGATAAGAGTTGGTGAAGGCTATGGTGCGCGATGGTCTAAAGACGGAACTAAGGTATGCATATATTATCAAAAGCCTAGTTATGGTATGCATGTATGCTTATATGGATCTACATGTGCTAGTGATGCATTTATATCGATTGTTGTGTAGTTTGTATTTTATCATCTGATTGTTGGATGTAATAATCTATTTATACACGATATGCACCTCAAAATCTAAGCTAACATGATACATTACGTTGATCAATGAAAATTTCTTAAATTACCTATATAACTATATAAATTTTATCCCTGGGGTATAGTTTTTACTAACCTCTATTATCAATATACCATGAATTTTCAAAAAAAAAAAAAACTATATAAATTTTATGAAAAATGGTTAGACATGCTCAAACCATTGGAAATTGGTACGTGTTATCATCTATATAAATAGAATATTAAATTAAATGATCTTTTTTTCAAAAAAAGATTACATAAAAAGCTTTTACTGGGTTAAGTTGGTTCTAACTCTATAAGCAACCTAGTGTAATAGTTATTGCCTTTTTCATATTTTCTTATATCAATTTTATTTTACCAATCCTTGGATTTGATGTCCCATTAACATTGATCATGCATGTCAAGTTTCAAGTTGATTATAATTTTCTAATTGATTCATTAATTTCAATATTATTTCAATTGTTAGATATATATGAGTGAAATTGTAGTTTTCTTGATTTACCAGTAATTGATATTGGGTCAGCATGAATTTATGTGCATGATATTGTTGGGGGCTTGGTTTAATATGATCCACCAAAGAAATTACTGATGGGTTATGGGTGAAATTATTTTTAATTTTTTCAGTGGTAACTTGATTCCTACTGTCCCTAATTTAGCAATCTTTACACCTATTAGTAACTTGTTATGCAGATTATATCCTACCAATCCATTTTCAAGCCAATCCAATATATAACCATGGATCAATCAATTGGATTGTCTCAACCAGGATGTATTTAACAGTTAAAATTTATGATGCAAAAGAAACAATTTGATATATTTAGTTAAGTTGAAGATTAATATGTGTGATCTACATGGTACTTGAAAATTTTATATATTTATATAAGATAAAATATCTATTCCTGGGTATGTTTGATATGTATGTGATAGTACCAACATTATTTGGGTTGGGCTGATTAAATATTTAATTTTAGGTAACTGGGCTTAAAGTTTTTTTTTCTATTTGGTTGGAATTCATGCCTACACATACATGTAATTGGATGGAATATATTGTGATTCCTTAGTGCCACTCGGTTTTGCTCCGTTTGCCTATATGCATGATTGTGGGACCTGGTGGATCCTTCACATCCAATATTTAAATATTTTAGTATTGAGCTCATCTACCTTTTATATACTTTTATATTTTTGTGTTATCTCTTTTAATGTCAACTTCCACTTGCAGTCCTATAAGTCCCCTAAACGCCCATAAATGCCATAACAGAATGTATGTGTATGCTACTGTCATCAATTTAAAAACAAAACAAAGATGCCTTACGTATGGCATCTGCATCTTTTCTACGACTGCATGTTAATAACTGGCTATACGTACTGCTAAAGCAACCTGACGCCATTCCTTTGATAGATATACACTTTTATTTGCTTCAAGATATTTCACTTTAATATTTAAACTCGTAATGGATATAGTTTTTAACATTTTTCTGTTGTTTCAGTTCATTGGATTTCTAGAACCTTATATGGATGATGGTCACTTGAAGGGATGGAAGCATTGACTTGACTCTGGAGTTCTTTGCACTGGCTTCCATGATCTACGAGGTATCCCCTTCCATCTTATTACTACCCCACTTTGTAAAGCTTTGGTCTGAGAAAATTGAATTTTTCATTTCATGTGCAATTTTTCACCACAACACACAAACGCACATGCACTCTTGTTTCTTCCCTCTTTTTTGCAACCTTTTAATCCCTTGCATAATACATGGTTTTTAACCTTCTTCTTCTTTCTGTTCATTCCATTCTCCTTTCATTTCCTAATTGTTTTCATTTCTATTTTCTCTCTTCTTTGAGAAAAGAGTAATTTTTTTTACCTTTGAAGACCTTTTTATTAAGGCTAAGTTTGGCATTGTCACTTTGTTGTAAAATGGTGACTTGGGCCACAACACAACACCAAATAGATTGAAAACGGAGGTTTGTGGTTTTTCACCGCAGTTTCGATGTCACAATTTTTAAACAAACAGTTTTACAGTTCTTGGTCTTTGTTCTTTTGTCTATTTTTCTTTGCCGCTTTTTATTTCTTTTCTTTTCTTTTGTGGGTCAAAGCATAGTCATTAAACTTGCATCAGATGTCAGACTTGATGATAGCATTGGGTTGCTGGTTAATTAGTTCATAAGTTGGGTTATTTTTTTGACACCATTGGATTAATTAAATATATTTATGTTATATAACATAATTTTAAAAATTAAGAATATAAAGGATATTCAAGTTAAAAAATGTGGTTACAAATAAAAATTTGATGCAAAATACTCATAAAAGGAGTTATTGTTTTCAACTTTCTAGTCATTAGACATATTATGATAATAGCAGGAATATAAGTAAAATTAAATGGAATATTTGTCTTTTTCATTTTTTTTATCAAAATATTTAATGAAGCAATGATGGAGGTATCAGCTATCCTTTGGAAATGAAGATTTTTTTTTTTTTAATTGGAGAAAGGGTGATTTGAACCCTAAACAGGAGATCATGCACCAATCAATGAGCCAACTTTTGAGAACCAAGGTTGAGAGTTAGCAACAACATATAAGAATTTTGCCAATTAAAAATAATAAAAGCCCTGGTTGACCCTAGAAAAAGCTGTCCTGGTTTGTCTAAAACTTGCCAGGTCAACAGTTTTGACCATGTCATGTGCATGAGCATTTCAAAATTAAACCTGACCAAATTTGGTTGCGCCTTGCTGTGTTTTAGAATTATGGTTCAGAGTTGAGACTAATAATTTTCTTCTAGGTTTTGTATCTAGCGGTTGTACCATATGTACATACATATGTGACACTGCAAAAATACATTTGCCAATCTTTGTAGCCGCATCAGTCTGGTAGGGGAACTCACAACATGAAGCCAATATTACTAATTTATATAAGTGGGATTGAGCTCATTGTAGATTTCCTTCAAATAGATTGGATAATTAGGAGTGGGTTTTGTATGTCATGTGGTTTGGAAAGGTTTTATTTCCCTGACCTATATGTGCAATTACCTGTATAAAAAATCAAATAATTATTTTTTTTTCTTAGTTGTGAATGAGTAAGTAATTAAACTAGGTTCATGGGATACTACCTGAGTACCCATTCTCTTATTTTCATATTGAGGGTATCCTTTTCCATATCACTGTGGTTAAACTATTTCTTTTGGGCTAGAGTTTTCCAATGTTAGGGTTTAGATTCTGAAGAGGACAATTGTTATGTATAAAAACGTTCTTATTCTAGTAGATTTATGTTTGTGCGTATGTATGGCTTTGACTTGGTTTTTTGGAGCCACTTCAATATGTTGAACTAATTCATCTCATAGACACTGGTGAGTGCATCAAGAATTAATAGTGAATTTATGCTTTTCTGGTTGTAATACTGAATAGGATAAGATATGGTACATATCTGCTATTGAGTGTGGCATGGTGGCAGAGAGTGGTAATTGATAGAAACTAGTAATTTAAATTCATAATTAATGCATTCATGGAGTTATAACTCTGTTTGGTAGACAACCTTGATATCCCTGGAATGCTGGTGAGCACAACACTTGTAGGCTAATATTAATCTAGTTCTTATGATAATACGGCTTCTTGCTGTGAAGTGTTTGCTGATATTGAAGGCACAAGCTGGTAATCTAAACTTGGAAGAGTCATGGTTGTAAGGTAGTAATATACTTTTTCATTGATCTACATGGAGTGAAAGGAATGATAGTTCCTTTGAAAGAATAAAGTTGCTAACATGAGATGAAGATGGAATTTTGGGCACTTTACTTTCTTTGCCTTTTTATCCCTCCTTTGCTGATTCTCGTTTCTTCTTGCATTTCCTATCTTGAACTTTAGACATTGAGTTTTGTTGCTTTTCTGGTTTTTGGTTTCTGCTTCTTGTTTTCTACTTTTTGTTGTTTTTATTTGTATGCTCTACATGAACTAGGGCAGTTTTTTGTTGTTGTTCCCCTTTTTCCTCCCTTACTGTTCTTCCTATTAAAAAAATATCAATAATGTTACTTATCCTGTTCAAGGGGAGGCATAATCAAGGATCCTTTGTTTTTTTTTGGTGGGATGGGAGAGAAACAGGATTGGGGGGTGTTAGCCAGTGGAGGAATGGATGATTCTTAAGCTGAGCTACAGGGAAATGGTAGCGCTGTGGTGGCAATAAGTGCAATTAAACAGTGTCTCAGATGAATATGCATTTGAGTTTTTGATTCATCATATTAGGTGTGGCAAAATATGACTGAATAGTTGAAAGGGAAAGATGATTGAGACGAGAAAGAACCGACAGACGATAAACTTTGCAGCTGATGCTGACAAATTTGGATTGGTGATGGCAATGATGATGACAGCCAAGTGTGTATATTTGTCGGCCACTTCATGATGAGAGCTTTCACATGGATTTAGTTGTGACAAGATTGCATCAAACTGCCCCTTGGGTGGAAAAGTGCTGACTATGGTAAGCAAGTTGGTTTTTTGGCCCCATACTTCAAAGCAATATCTGAGTTGAGTCATCACAATCTGTTTCTCCTTCGTGAACATTTAGTGTATGCAATTATCTCAAGGACAACTGATGTTAAGATTTTAGCTTTTTAAGTGTGCTTGAACAAATGCACGAGCTAGGATACTCTATGCTTCCTCCCAACTTTTGTAAATTATTGAACCCAAAAAATTATTCGAACATCCCACCATCTGATACTGGTATTTACCTTCATTTCTATGAAGCTCTTTTACTTATTCTATTGACCTTATTGTGTCTTACCTCCAGTACCCACTAAGTCTTATTTGTTGGCTTTTTTAAAAAGCACACATTAAAGCTCCTTGAATATGTTAAACACTTAGCTGGACTCAGTGTGATTATGCAGGAGATCTAAAGGGATTATTGTGTCAGGAAGTAGAAGAAGGAAGGCTTGTATAAATAGAATGGACCCCTCAATTCTAGTTCATCCGTTTGGTGATTCTTGCTTTGTGTAAATTTAATTGCAATATTGGAGGGCATCTATTGACATAGTAAACTACATGTTTGGAATGTTTGTTGGTAGTTTAACTATTAATAAAAGAACATCAGTATTTGTTAAATTTATGAGTCTTGATTCTGATAAGCCCCAAATTCTTTTGTCCAGCAAATCTGAAACAGGTTCGTCTGCTGGAATCTGGAGTTACCCAATGAGTAATCAAGTTGAGCATAGCAACATGATCTGCCAGTGAAACTTTCTCATGGTATGATTTTGTGGTGGGTTTGGCTTTCCTTTCTTTTCTGCAAACGTGGCAGGAGCCAATACCCTTTGCTTGCATGCCACGTGTCCCACTTTATTCATGAATTTTCCGTAAATAACACCTGCAAGCATGGATAACTGACACACCCACGATGAACAAAAAGCTCAGATTTCAGATCCAAAGTTGGATCCATATATTCATATGTAAACAGTAAGTTGAACCCAAGACCTTTTCATATACATAACTTTGCTCTTTCACTTTGCTTACCAGCATAATGGTTCTGCCTTGTGCCTTGTCATTTATTAAATATCTTTTTAATGCTTTCGGTGTACATTGTTCTTTAAAATCTTTTATGAACCCACCAAAAAAGAAAGATGAATACAGGCAATGGCCTTATTCCCTGATTGCATTTTAAAATTATGTGTTATAGTTTGTGGAGGAATGTAACATCAAGCCCCTAAAGTTGTACCTCTTTTCTACTTTTGTTGGACATGTCATGTGGCTCTTGAAATTTTCCATCCCACATCATAAAATTATTACAAATCACATTCACCTCTAAAGACTTCATCAAAGCTTTTGACTGACTCCTAATTCCATAGACCTCGATCCATTTGCTTGCGGTTGCTTTCTGTTGTTGTTTATAATGGGATGCATGTGACCGTATTTAGTCCTTATCTATGAAATTTTTGTATCCCACCTTTACATGGAAATAGTAGATGAGAACTAAAATGTCTTTCTCTAGAGGTCCTCAACATAATTGTGATGTTTCTTATTGTTTTAGAATTTTGATTCCCTTTCTCAGGAATTATCTTTAAGTCCTTCAGTCCCATTCACTACCAATAGCCCTTTTATGAATCCAAAAATTGCAAAAAAATAAAGAAAAAAGGGAAGAGAAATAGCAGAAGGAACACACGTGTAGTTCCCTTGACTTTCTTCTCTCTATCCCTAAATTGTAATTGAACCAATGAAAGCATTTGCTTTATTTCATGTCTCCTGGAAATGACTCTGTTTTTTGGTTGGTAGGCGCAATTTGATCTCTCTTTATGAAAAAGGTTATGTAATTATAAAATTATGATGGCAAACTTATCTTTGTAGGACCCCCATTACATATTTTTTAGATATTTTATAACAATAAAGGGGTTTGGAATAAGTAATTGGACAGTGGGATTATTGTACAACATTGGGAAAAGGCTTTGGAGGGGGAAGCATATCATTCTAGACGGCCTTGAGCTTTTCTACAACTTTGGTAGCCTCTTGTAAGCAGAAAAGCCTTAACCCTACCATTCACGCTTTTGACCTTTGGAAAAGCTTTTGATTCGAAGCTAAAAGCATTCAATCGCACGTCCGTGCATAGACACATTCCCAAAATTTTAGGCAAATGCTAATGGATCCCATCACGCAACCTCCCACATGACGTTGGCTCCTAGGGTTCATCAGTTTGTGTTAGACAAATATGTATTAATGCTGCAATAACAAAATTGAACCATTTTGCAAAAAAGTTGGCATGCTTTTCTCATTTCAGTCAAAAGAAATCCATATGGAAACGTTTGTATTTTATTTGAATTACTAGGTATACCACAATTGTTTGTTTATCTTGATATATGTCCAAGGGACACCTCACCTTTGGGGAAAAAAAAAAATCTATTCATCCCAAATGTAATACCTACAATTGATTTGGCACAACAATTAATGGAAAAAAAATTTATTTTTAGTTTCTTTATAGAAGTATTGAAAAAGTTTTATAATATTGGTGTTTGATTATTCTTAATAAAAAAATTAAAAAAGAGAAAAAAAGAAAAATAAAGGGTAATTCACTCCAATTTTTGAGTAAAAGATATATACATTTAGCATCAAACTAAATGTTTATATGCCAAAGGGAAAAAAAAAAATTGTTGAAACTAAATGTATATATCATATACCCAATTTGAGACTGATGAAAGTATTATTAGGGGAACTAAAAACAATATAAAAAATAGTAATCATATAAATAATAATGAGGCAACCTCATTAGGATAAGTATTTTTAGTTACTCATTGGTGTAATTAACGTGCTAGCTATCCCAACCAACCAATTAAAGGATTCGTCAAAAGAAAAAATGATCTACTGTGAAACGTATAATTAAAGCAGTGGAAAATTTCTCTAAAAATGTTGAACATCACTTGTTGTTTATAATGTTTACAAATCAAACAAAAAAAAATGGTGTATGAGAAACATAGATGCAGACAAATGAGGCTGCAAAATATAGGACCACATGAATGGAATCGACATAAAAATCATCGTCATCCAGCATATTTTTCAAAGAAAGAAAATGAAGAAAAAAGATAAAAAAAAAAGTTGAGGAGGCTGAGGCAAAGACAGCTCTCCAATGATTGGATGGAAAAAACAGGAACCTCTTACCTTGTCTTCTTGTCTAATCATTAGTTAGGAATAAACTTCATTTTGATACCATTTAAATTGGTTTATTCACCTTCCGGACCCCCCTTTTCTTCTTTTTTTAATCTTTAATCTTCATATAAAACCTCATTTCTAGGTATAATAATAAATATTATTAATCCCATCATTCATCATATATACTTAAAATATTACAAACTTGCACCCATTCTTAACTCAAAAGTAAACTTTAGCCCTATAAACCCCGACAAAGAGCATTACTTGGTTACGTAAATAAATAGATTATTCAGTCTCTCGGGTTAAAATTACAAGATATGTTATATTTTTATAAGAATCATACATTTGATATTAATGTTAATAATTAGAGTTATCAATAAATTTAAAATTCACAATCATTTGTTTTGAAATAATCGAATTTAATTATTAAATCAATTACTTATCAATTTTTTATTTTTATTTTTGTGTGATATCAAGAAATTGAACTTTATACAATATTGCTTCAATGAGATTCTAAGATTTCGCTTTACATGCAAACATAGAGGATTGAACAAGTGATACATTAATGATAAGGTAATCTTCCCAAACTTACGATTTTTATTCTCAAATATTAATTTTTATTGCTTATAATGAGTTGTGACAATGAGGTGCCACTTGCAACTAGTAATCGTATGCGATTTTGGACAAAGTCAAGGATTTTAACAAATCTGAGAAGGATTGAATTGACATGAAAATATATCAAGAACTGAGAATAGAACATAACAAAAGACATGTTGACATATTCTTGAAGATGTTCTGGAAAGGGGTAGTGAGTGATTATTGTAATGGTTACTAAATAATTATTAACAATGATTAATTTATGGTATGAGTTATATACTGACTGCACTGCATATTCCTACTCCAAACCTTTATTAAGAATTATTATGTACATAATTTTCAATTGAAATCTATAATTGTTATTTATTATGTAGCATTCATTGGTGGCAGAAGAATGAGAATTTCTAACCTTCTCTTGGGCAACACACCTTCATTATTTTTTTAAATTTAATTAAGTGTTAGGTTACACCATGGAAATATCCCTTCTCCTTTCTTAGTCTCCCTATAGAGGTATAGCTCTCATACATTATCATCACCCACATAACTTTGTATTCAAAGACAGACCGGCTCTAAGCTGGTTCAAGCTAGAAGTTCATTTATATATATATATA